TATTAAATTTCCTTTCTATTCAATTGGTATTTAACTTATATTATCATATCCTTAGATGCTTAAACAGATACTTAGTTAGATATCTATGGATAGTATATAGATATAGTAATACTTATATAGATCCTCAGTAGATGTCAGTCAATGGAGTTACTCTACTGATTCGTTTTTATAATCAATTTATATTGATTTTCTTTATTCAATTACTTATAATCATATTAATATTGTCTATATATTCAATTCCAAGGACCCTCTACACAGCTTGATAGAGAATCCCAATGGACTCATCCTCTTTAACAAGGGAATGCGGATGGGAAGAGGGTCGATTTGAGGACAGCGAGTGGCGACTGGTCGAATCGGAGTGCAGGTTCTGAAGACGCTCTCGTGCCTCAGTCGCTTGCCTTTCACCTCTGAGGTTTCGTGTTCGACTCCCGTAGAATCCCTGTAGATCCTCAGGTTGTCGAAACTTGTTACGACAAAACGAGTTTGTATGCTTCACAGGGGCTAGTCCAAACCAATTGTGACCGACGGGTAGATGACGCAGGGCGACGACCTCTAGAGGCTGCTGGGTAATTAATAACAGAGGTTACATTACTACAATTAAAAATTAACGGAGGATTACTCCACGATTCACTCAACGCTACTTAAGGAATTGCGTCTACATCGACAAAAAAGGAAGAAAGGCTGCTGGAGCGTATCCCAGATTGACTCCACTGCGACTCCCAAAACTTGTAGAACCTCTCAATTCATTTTATAGCACAGAGATAAGTATAAAGAAAAAATATCAATTTTTACACCAAAACAATAATACAAGTTAAACAATGCTGTCCTAATATTGTCATTAACATAAGCACAAAACTATAAACACCCTTTTCGTACCAACATATAAAATCCTATCAAGTGCTTCGGCCAGTTGGAAATTTAACGACAACTTCTGGCAATAATATCGCAAATATAAGAACGAGTAGTAAAAAATATTCGTTATGTTCGATATTTCAGCAAAGTTGAATTGATGTCCCTATCTTAATATTCTGAATTTTTTTATAAAATTCTAGGATGTAAAAGTTTAGAGCCGCCTCTAAATATTACCCAAGGGTCGCGGTGGCTCTTTGGTAAGGCAGTGGATTTTTGACATGAAGGACCTAGGTTTGAATTCTGACATAGTTTGGGATTTTTATCTGGTGCTTTCCATTCAGGGTGGCTCCCTTTAAGGTCAACTCTGCCGCCTTTCTAAGTTATTTATTTATTTAATAGGTAATTATTACGAACGAATTAGATTACTTGATCCAATGTGGCTAGGCCGAAGGCCTTTAAGCCATTACAATACCTACATCCTTTCGCGTTCTAATCTTTCGAATTCTGGTATTCACCCCAAATGGTCTCTCCATCGCATCAAAGCCGCAGAAAAGAGACCACAAGGTACGGCTCAGGAAAAAACCCCTGAAGGGGGAAAAACCTGCCGTCAGAAGCCGAGTACATTCTTATCTATCCGACATTTATTTTAGCTATTTTATTTTCTGGCGCGGGCGTCCCGCCGTCTCCTTCCAGTGCATGGCCTCCTCAGCACCTGAAATCAAACGGCGCCACAGAAGATCGTCCGCACCAACGCCTCTGCCCTTACATTTTCGATCACCCCTTCCCTTCACCCCCTAATGTGCTTATTACTATGCCAGTTTTATTTTATTTATTGTATTGACCAGTTATTTACCAATTGACTACGACTTATGACTTATTTCTGTTTACTGACTGTTTACTAACTTAACATAAAATTACGTACTTATTGTTAGCTTATTGACTTCTCCCTCTCTATTTATTTCTCTCCAGTCTAGGCTCCGCTCAAGCTAACCAGTGCTGTTTTCCCACTCCCTAATTTCAGTTTCCCTAATGGTCCGGACCTTTCCTAAAAATGTTCCTAATTCTTTCATAAATTTAGGTTTTTTGTCACCTAAAATGTTTTGGGCAAGCGTTACGTTCCTGTTTAGGAAGTAGTAATTTCCCATTCCCATCCTTTCCCATCCCCTCCTTTCTAAGTGAGTACAGGATCTTCCCTGAGGGTAAAGGCGGCTAGAGCATTGTGCTCGCCACCCTACCTCCTCCTCCTCCTTGTGCAGATGGCGACGAATAGGTGGAGCCCTACCTTCACCTACCCTGTAGGTCACAACTCGGCCTGTGTGTAATTGCACAGGGATACTTTTACCTTATATTCTCGTAGATAGGGAGCCCAGTGACCTGTGCTAGGGTACTGGCTTCCTGGCCAGAAGGACCCAGGTTCGAATTCCGACGTAGGTTGAAACTCTATCTGGTGCTTTCCATTCAGGGTGGCTCTGAGGTCGACTCTGAGGTCGACTCTGAGGTCGACTCAGCCTCTTTTCCAGGTGAGTACTAGGATCTTTCCTGGGGGTAAAACAGGTCGGAGCGTTGCCCACACAACCCCCTCCTTGTGCCAACGGTGACTAATAGGTGGAGCCCTACCTTCACCACCCTGTGGGACACATCGACCTGTGTGGAATTGCATAGGGATACATTTACCTTTAGAAATATTACCCGCTTCCACCAAGCACTTTGATATCATATGGTATGGACCGTAATTATACAAGATGTCCTAGACTAAATGTTAAACACTCTTAGTGTATGTAAAAGTGTGAAAATAATCCGTTACTGCCAATAAAATGTTAGATGAGAAACTTTAAATAACGGAGTTGCACATGTGTTATTTGCCCCTAATTAATAGCCAACTCAGTTTGCACAAGTGTTGGGCGGGACACGCTTGGAAGCAGCAAAGAGATGTATAAGTCGCCAAACACTCATCAACAATGGTTTGCCGTCCAATCAGTAGCTAAAGTCACATGTGATATAGTTATTTTAAATTTCTTACCACATGTATAATGCATCTAAGGTAAAAAATGTTACTGCCTGACTGTCTATACTGGTACAACAGACTGACGTGGCAAAGGCCTACCAGCGAAGTCCGGCCTTGCGGCCAAGGGTTAAGAGATACGTGTGGTTTAAAAATGTTACTAGTGGTTAAAATAATAGTAGTCGCTAATGAGATAGAAAGTTTCTAAAGCAACTTACAATAAATAAAAAAGTTAAACATTTTAAAGAAATTAAAAAAAGAGGAAATCAAAGAAATATTAATCAATTGTTATCAATGCGACAATATTACAAACAGTATTTTCTTTCAAAGATGAAATGGAATTAAAATAGAGTAAACTTAAGATTTTTAAACTATATTTTGTTTATTGGGTCAGCTTCTTGTTATTTATTTTCTGTAAAATATGACGAGATTTTTGTTTTCTATGATATACAGTCACAAGTAAATAATTAATATAGACTGTGGTACCGCAATTCTACAGTTCAAATAGAAAATTAATTCTAAAATGATTAAATTAATTACTTTACAATGTTACATTTAAAATTAAATAGACCTCTAGATTAACTTTTATTTCATTCCAATAACGCGAAATAACAGACAATTGTAATATAAAGTTGAATGCATAGTGAGTGATTATCAAAAAACTTCCGATTCTCATTACACGTAATTATCTAATATCACAAATAACATATTCATTTTAAATTGATTCATAGATATTTTGTGAGAGCCGTCATTTTATATTCGACTCTCCCGAACTTTGTAACACGTTTTGAAATAAATGTATTACTATCAGAAACTACACCCTTTCATCTTTATAGTTATATGATGTTTACATCGTTAACATCGTAAATTTCACAACTTCCTTACCTCGCTTGGAGTTCTAAGTGTGCAAACTTCCAGTAGCTAAGGGTTATTAAACCCAGTGCCTTGAATTCTGGGTGAAATTTAGGTTTCCGGATGGAGAGAAATGTAACGCCATGTAAAAACTATGTCTGGACGAATGATACTCGATAGTTTTAATGTACTTCTCCATGTAAACCGAGTGTAAAACGGAATGCAACAATGCAGACACCGTGAGAAATTACAACACAGTCTGTCCTTATTATTTTCTTCACAATGTAACACTACACAGTCAAAGGATAATATAAAATACATTTAAAACTAAATACATTTTATATATTCAAATGCATGCAACGTACATTTTCGACGTAACTACTATTGAATATTCATGAATTTTTTCACCAAAGATCGGAAAAATAAGACGAACAGAGAATTTTATGATACTATTGTCGTCGATATTCTCAATTAGAAACTGTCAATATGCGAATAATAGAACTTTCGAGCGTTGACTAGCTGACAAGCATTTTCAATGGCTCGTGACATACAATAAAACACAGAAAATGCATCAAAAAAGTCTACGCTTATCTGTTCCTGTTCCCTATAAAAAGGATTAACGTATTGACAACAAAAAATCCTTTTATAGCTTACGTACCTACAAAAACGTGACATGTCATGTTATTGAATATAAATCTCAGAATAAAACGCAATTTTCTATTCACCATTCAAATTCAAAAACCTAAAATAATATAGCACTTTGCAAATTAAGTCACTTTTACATATTAGACCTCAGATATTGGAGCCATTCACATTAAAATGAAACCTGCATTGAAATGACATTTGTTTGAATTACATATTTATATGGTACGAGTATCTCCACATCTACTGTTCTACAAATATTTTGAACATAATGAATTTTCTTTATCGCATGTCATAAAACTTATGTGTAGAATGGTATTTAAATTTTCTCGATATAAAAACATATTAAAGAACCTTTAATTGAAAATATTCAGGTTTCTTGATGAGAAGAAATCGTCGTTTTTTCTGTTCTCCTTTCTCATCACATCTATGACGACTTTAAGTTATAAATTTATAACCGGCGTGACTCAAAGATCAATGTGACAATCTCATTACTAATGACGGTGATTTCATTATTTTGGACACCACGGAAAATTAAAAGGATAGGAATATATAATACCGTTGTGTTTTTGGTAACATTTATTTCTGCCTGACGAATTATTCATAGAATCATCTGCTGTCCCCCAGATAATAGCTATTTGAAAAACTTACTTTAATGTTGTTGCGCAGTTGGGAATTTGAAGCACACTGCTCCTCTTCCACGCTGGAACAAAAAATGTCAGTTACTTACTTGCTGCAAAATGTATATTTCATTATAAACTAACACTTCAAATTAAATCAACTTTCGAAATAGATGAGAAAATATCCACAGCTTAATAGATTGTCCATTATGGGAAGTTAAATGATACGTTATCTAGCATCAGCACGCTGGTAGAACTAAAATTTAAATTACAGGTGCTTAAACTGGTATCTGCAGGTTCATTTATAGTGAAACCTGTATTAAGCGACCACTGCTGAATTTGTGAAAAGTGTTGTCCTTTTAGTGGGTTCGTCGCTTACAAAGGTTTCTCAGAAAACGTTCTATTATTACTAGGCATCGGATATTCAGGGATGTAGCTATTAAATCGAATGTTTATGAACGGTTTGTAGTATATAAACACGAATTATGAAAAAGAAATATTTTAATATACCTTTTTGATGTAAATGCCTTTGTACGGGAATGTCATGGGGAAATGGGAGACCTCGTTCAACTTCCAATTTTTATTTTCAATTCAATAGTAAAGTTCTCATATTTTCTCAATTTCTCCGCATCGGACTTCCGCAAGTTGTTAGTCAAAGGGATTGCAACATCGATTACAGTAGTTTTCTTTTCTTTGTCTATTATGAATATGCTAGGTCGGTTATGATCAACTCTTTTATCCGTTATAATAAGCTTTTCCCAGTATAAGGCGTGCGTTTTTGTCTCGAGCATAGCATCTGGTTCATACATGTACGCTGGGGATTATTTCTCAACATTCCAAGATTCATTTCTAGTTCTCTGTGAATGAATTTTGCCATTTGGTAATGTCTGCCTAATAAGCACTCTCTGACTGCACCCAGCTACCATATACTGTATTATTATTATTATTATTATTATTATTATTATTATTATTATTATTATTATTATTATTATAATATTATATTATTATTATCATTAATATTAATATTGTAGCCCGTTCCAATCCCGTAAAAAGCAAGGCCCTGCGATTGTCGGGTGAGTTACACAATGGTAGAATTCCCGAGCATCCAATTCGGGAACTTCCTTCTACAGACGCTATTTACACACGAAAATAAGGAAATGTAAACGCCATTTACACGCAAACTAAGTTACACTTCACTATGTCACTGTCAAATTTAACACTGTTCACTTTGATTTCACTACTTAAATCGAATTAGCGAAAACTTCATCTTACTACTTTCTGCATTGGTGCAGAGTCACGTATTAAGTTGGTGAGAACTAGAATAATCCAGTGTAGTACGTTCATTGTGTTGGATTTAGACATGGTCTTCCACTTCTGACGATACTTGGCAGAGGTAGACTATTGGCTGCCAAACTGCATTTTCAGTTCGTCCGACCACCTCTTCTTCTGTCTGCCGACGATTCTCTTTCCCAGTCTTGGATCCCAAGCGGTAATTCGGTGAGTCCAGACGGTATGGGGAAGTCACATGATGTGATCTTTCTAACGTCATTTCACGTGTCGAACAGAGGTTTCAGCGACATTGGTTTGTTTTACCTTTATTATGTCATATGTCACATGTTGCCTTTATTCTGTCAGATCGTACATATACAATATATTATTCAATAATTGGATATACAAAGTATGGTCATCAACAATATACGGATTCCAAAATACAATAAAAAAATCGGTCGTAGAGATCGGTAGTCGTTTAATAGGGATAGTCTTTCGGTAACGTTTCACTGAACTGTTGAACAATGTATGAAGATATTTGATGTAGGAATGGAATTTGTTGACAATAGTTCGGCTTCTAATTCCAAGCAGCGTATTTTCGTGCTTATATAAAAGTTTTGCTTTATAATTTCTCGAATTGTTTTCCATTACTATTCTAATATTATATTTAATCATATTTTTTTATGGAGATTTTTTTCAAAGACAAGCTAGAAATGTATAATGAATTCTGGAAAATGTTGGTAAGTATTGGTAGCAAGGAAAAATTCGTAGTGTGTGCAGCGCAATCCAAAAATTATACTCCTTTCAGCTTTAAATCTGGCAGACCTAAACAAGAATTTCGAAAGTAGATCACATGTGAGCAAAACGTGAATTCTCTGTTCTGTGCATTGCTTAATAACTTTACAAAAAACTGTGCCTTGAAATTACTTTCAACTCGAAAACTAATATACGCATAAACAATATAATAATCTATGATGAATCGATTGCAATATTCATGCTCGTACAAAGTAATAATGTTAATGGTCAATAAACACTTTTCAGATAATTTTCAAACACTGAGCTTATAATGCCTCAGGCTTTTCAGTATAGAATATAATGCTAAAACCAAATGTACGTATATTTTATTCTTTTGTAAGTAACAAGATGAATATATTTTTATCTATCGTACAACACAAAAAAATGTTTAAACAGTATAAAGCATTTTTTAAAATTTTTATTCATATCCTTTTACTTGGTTTTTTTCTAAATGGAAAAAACTTTTTCCTGAAGGTTTTTGCAGGTCCATCGAGCTTATCTGTAAAATTTGGAGAAAATTAAACAAAACCAAGGGGGAGAAAATCTATACCTGCCAATACTTTGAAGGTTGTATCAAAACAAGATACGAATATATCTGATGTATTGAATGAAATTTTAATTCTCGCAAATTTGTTGTTTACTCAACGAACGAAGATATAGTTTTACAGTTTTCAATATTTTTGATTTAGTTTTTCATCATTAATCATGATAAAAGCACGGAGTTCAACACACAACGAGGACAAGGAGGGTTGTGTTAAGGTTAAGGACACCCAAAAAACTTACAATTGTTGAAGAATTTTGTAGGTTTTACCCAACTTAAGATATTATTTTTATTAACATAAGACGAACCTCTTGATGATATGTAATTGCACTAACTAAAACGTCAACTTACAAAGAAAAAAACGCTTAAGTTCGTCTATTTCTAAAACAAATTTTCAAATATTGATTTGAATTTAAAGAGGTCATTATTATAAATACTATTATTGCTTCTGTACTAATAAATAATATCTCAATATTTCTCCTAGAACTTTAAAATTCAACCCCTTAATAGTATCTCACCTCTCATGGTTGTATTGTGTTCGTCCTTTGACACTCTATCATAATATCGTGTCATCCTCGTAGTTAACATAACGTTACGCGCAATAGTGGTCGCTAATGACCTAGAAGTAGATGCGATGTTAAATTTAAAAAAAAAAATAAAAAAAACTACTACTGGAAAATGTACACGAGACACCCAGGTGAACAGTAAAGCTTGCTTTCGACGATTTTCCAGCGCATACCGAACATTTCTACATGGTTCTCCAACCCGCCTTCATTACTTCAGCACCCTCGGTCCAGCAAAGGCCGTTCCAACCCTCTGTCCAGCAAACGACCAGCAATTCGTCGGAAAGGGGGAGAATAGTGTTGCCTAATATTGATTTATTGTTCTTGCTTTTGACATTTAAACAGATTTATGGGAGGAAAAGTTTCCCCCACATTTCTGTTCGGTCATTTTTAATGAGTTTTGGTGTTACCTTAACCTTCGCACTATATCGCCATAATGTGCGCGTGACGTTTTTAAAGGCAGTGATAAGTAATGACTATTCTTACGTGTACGTTTTTATATTAAATCTCTATGTTCATGATATTTAAAATATAGTAATAACTTATTTTAACTGAAAAACCCGATGAAATTTCCAACTGAAAAAATGATACACATTCTTTCTGGTCACTTTGTATCCTGTTTAAATTGTAACATTTATTTCATGTATAGAGACATTGGTAATATTTTGGTGGGAGGTATATGGAAGAGATTTACTGTGTTAACTTCACAGGAATTCTCCGTTGATTTTTGTTGTATTGATTCCATAGTTTGTTTCATACTTATTTTAGACTGATATATTGTTTCGGGGGTCTTTATATTCATGTATTGAATTACTTCATTTAAAGTACTTGGTTGGCGTAGTGCTTAATATTTGGACATGAGTGTCTCTTATGAAAATTCATATGAATTGATTGTCTTTCTGTGTTTCAGCATCATGTTTACATGTATGTCAGGGCAATATTGAAAAGTATGTGGCGACAAAGCACTGGTGTTACTTGAATCGAATCTGATGCGATTATCATTAGATCGTTTAGACGTGAACCTATTTTTATTTCTCTTTTTCACTTCGCATCCGTTCTGCGGCACAATACACCCGGCGTAAAAACAAAGTTACCTCGAACAAATATTCAAAGTAGCTCCTCGTGCATTCCACTTCCCACTTTTTTTTCCATCCCATTCACTACCGGACACTACCAAACACACAGCAGCGAAACAAAACACACACAAGACCCCCCAAGCGGGCAGTAAAGCATACTTCCGACCCTTTTCCAACCCATTGGACACCACCTTTCCACATCCACATACACCTCCTTAATCACTTTAGCACCGAGGCTTCTGAAACAACCGA